TTTCTAAGCAGTTCGATTCCAGGTTTTAACTAGTTTGTAAATTTCCGTTTCTACAGCTTTACCCATCCACTCATTTTTTTTAATTACAACATTTTAATTCCTTTCTCTGTTCAGCTGTTAAAATGCTGAGATTCATATCTTAGTTTTACAAGCGTTTCCCTTTTTTTGGCTCATGAAGTTTTCTGTTTGTCATGAAATGTAAGAGTGGAATATTAATACATTTCAGTTTAGTTCTGTAATGTCAGGAAATTTTTCAAAAAAAAAAAAAAGGACTGGGAAAAAAACCCTGACCCCATCTCCTGGCACACTGCAACCCTGGTGGGACCCCGTCTTCTCTTCTCTCCTTCCTCCCCCATCCTCTCTACTGCCCACCTGGATCCCCATCTCCTGTCTGGCTCTCTAAACAATCCCCCTCCCACTACTCTCCTGAACCATCCCCCCCACACACCTGCCCCACTCCCTTGTGCTGTGTTCTGACAACCTCACCCCTGCCTGGGACCCTTTGTCTGAGGAAGGGGAATGCTGGTGTTCCTAGTGCCCGTGCCCCCAAGTCTCTTCCTGTCTGGGGCAGGAGTGCTTTATTAAAATTGGAATTGTGATCCCATTTAAATAGGCTTTGTTTTAAATAAATACCTTTACAATTACATTAAAAATTGTTATAGCCTACATTTATCATAACCTATTTAAATGACTTATGAAGTAGTTAAATAGTACATGTCTCCTGTCAACTTTTAAAGAAATTCTACCAGTTCACTAGTGTAAGTTGCTGTGTAGCACCCAGAACCAGTGTTTACATCAGCAGTAGCTTCTTCTGCAGGTGAAGAGAGAATGTTTTTATCGCTTTGGTTTATTTAGCTAGTTCAATTCAATGATTAGTTCATTCCGAGAGTTGATGAAGCAGAAAAACTTGTTTTCCTCTTCTCTCAGTAAACAACTGGTTATGAGAGCGTTCTAACATCTTGAAGAACATGATGACTAGATTCAATCTGTTAGATTCACTAAGGATATTTCCTTTGTTAATAAATGAATTTTAGATGCAAAATGTGTTTGGATACTTTTTTGTTATGTGCCCTTCACATTTAAGGAAGTTATATTTCATACAAAAATTAAATGCAAATTAAATTGAATTTCCACCCAGACAGAAGTAGGTGGAAATCATATGTTTTTTAAAAAAAGTAGTCACCACTTAGCAAATAACAAATGGGGTAAAACCTGTCTCTTAAGTGTTTTTATTATACACCATTTATAATAATGTAAAAATTAAGAATCTGATTACATGTAAATTACACAATTATTTGGGCATTTATTTAGTTGTTAGCTGTACTGGGTGTATTCTCCTGGTTAGTAAATAGAAGCACCAAATTTGGCAAAAAGGTTATATTTAGTTGTAAATCAACATGTTTTAAAGGTTGCTAATTAATAAGACAACCATCCTTTAGGAAAATATTTTAAAAATATAATTTAAATGATTAATTGCTCATTTAAACCAAGGTTTTCTGCTTGCCAGTTTAAATCATGATTAAAATTAGAGATCTAAATCAAAGGTATTAATATCAAGCCACCCTGCTTAAGAGGCTGTTTGGGCCATCCCTGAAGGAGAAAGGACAGGGCTGCGCTCCTGGAACTAACTTAGGTTAGTGGGGTTTTGTTGTCTGGTGCCTGTCTTGTTTTGGACAGTTGAGCTGGGGAGTTGAAACAAAAATTCTCTTAATCCCTTTGAACTGTCTCATTGTATAGTGAGGCTGATTCTTATCCATGGACACCAAGAGTTGGACAGCTTATGTGTTGGGGTTGGAGTCTGAGTGATTATAAGGCTTCTAATAAAAAAATCCCTTTGCAGAGTGAGGAGTGGGACCGGGACTGCAGCACTAGGTGATGTGAACAGCTGCATGCTTTGGAAGTCTTTAACTGACTTGCTGTGGATGAACCTGCCCTCCATTTGTCCTCTCGTGGGGAATCCCTGGTGCTCTCCTAGGAGAATAAAATGCTCTGGGGTTTGGCCTTCCCCCGGATCACACCCCCCCATTCTCCAGGAAGCTGCACAAGCTGCATTTGCACATGCACCCCCAGCAAGCCGCACAAACTGCATTTGCGCGTACAACCTTCCCAGACCAAAAAAGGCGGGGGGGAGTCAGCCAAAATTTTTTTTGCTTGGGGCAGCAAAAAACCTAGAGCTGGCCCTGTTCATGGGGTGTACTGAGGATAAATACATTAAAGATTAAAAGTCTCAAAGGGGTGGCTGTGTTGGGCTGTAACTTTAAAAACAACACGTAGTCCCATGGCACCTTAGATATTAATACACACATATATATCTATATATAGTATCCTGAGCTGTCATGTGCAAACCCACTTCTTCAGATGAGATGATCCTGAGTAATCAATAAGTGATCACTCGAGATCATCTCATCTGAAGAAGTGGGTTTTGCCCACAAAAGCTATATATATATATATATTTAGTCTCTAAGGGTACGTCTACACTACATGGCTCTGTTGATGGAGCCATGTAGATTACCTTTGTAGACATAGGAAAATGAAGCAGCGATTTAAATAATTGCCACTCCATTTAAATTAAAATGGCTGCCGTGCTGTGCCGATCAGCTATTTGTTGGCACAGCACTGTAGTCTGGACGCTCCGCAGTCGACATCAAAAGCATTTGTCGACTTCCCTGGTAAACCTCATCCCATGAAGCATACCCTATGAGTGCATCTACACAGCACGCAAAACTCAAAATAAGATACACAATTTGAGCTATGCAAACTGCGTAGCTTATTTCAAGTCTATTTCAAAATAACTTATTTTGTCATTTGGCACTGTCTACAAAGTGCCAAATTTCTAAATAAAGCACTATTTCGAGCTGTCCTTTACTCCTCATAGAACGAGGTTTACAGGGACAGTGAAATAGTGCGTCTGCTATATTTTGAAATAGCGAACGTGTTCAAAAGATGTGGGGTAGCTATTTTGGGATACCTCTGGTATCCTGAAATAACTTTGCTGTGTAGACATACGCTAAGGTGTCATAGGACTACTTGTAAATTAAAGATTGTAAGGTAATCAGAATTTAATATTTTTAAAAGGGCTATGTATCAACTTGCCTCTCTCTCAGCAAGTTAATATGTATTAGTCTGAATATTCACACCATAAGTGTGTCCTTAATTTGTCTCTAGTATTTACCATTTACAAATATATTTAATATTTTTCACCCATCCAGTCAGTGAGCAAAAATACCTTGACTTAAATGCTCAGTCACACACCACAAAGAGTAACTATTCCAAAGAACTGTTTGCAGACTGTCCACTAATTGAAAATTATTCAAACTATTTGTAGAATAATCTTGAATAATTAGAATATTAATGTAGATTATGAAAGATTCACAAATGATTTGTTACCTGAAAAATGGTCTTAATGTATGATGAATAATAATTGAATAATTTTATCACCTCCAGCAATAATAATAATTTGGTTTGGAACAATGTGATTTCTCATTTTTATAATTTCACCAGATTATATTGCTTTTTAATTTTAAGTATTTTTACTTTTATTTATTTTAATTTTCTCAGTTGTAGGAAATTATAGGGAGGTCAGAAATTTTTTTTTATCAACAGACATAGGAAGAACAGTCACAGCGGTAGCTGTGTTAGTCTGATCTTGGTAAAACAAAAAGACAGTCATGTAGCACTTTAAAGACTAACAAGATGGTTTATTAGGTGATGAGCTTTTGTGGGGCAGACCCACTTCTTCTTTAAAGTGTAACATGACTCCCTTTTTTGTTTTATAAGAAAAACAGTTTAAGTTTTATGATCATTAAATCACAAATTGTCGAATCATATCAAAGTACACAAATATTCTTGAATCAAATTCTAATATAGTCTCATGCAAGATGTTTCTTACTTTGTTTATCTGTAAATTTTGATTATTGTTGATGGAATTTTTTTATCCATTTGTGTCCGTGTGTAGAAATTGCTGTTTATTGACATTTGCTGATAAAAATCTAATCCTTCCAAGTCTAATGATAATAAATAGATAAACATTAATTGAACTTTATTTCACCAGCAATGTTTCTGCTCCCTCCCATGTCTGATCTGTTATTGCAAATATCACATTTTTTAGTTAAAAAATAAGCTCTTCTGGACTAGGTACCTTGCTTTTCTATAATTGTCTATAAAGCACTAAATATATCTGAAGTGTTGTTTTATCACAGTGTATTATGTATGTGGCTAGATAACACAATGTTATGTACTGTATATAAGCAGATGATGTTCCCACCCTACTCCAAAATATAAGCACATCGTATAAGGTTAAAGTCACCCTGTTCTTGGGATATGTCTTTATTAAAATGGTAATTAATAACAAACACAAATCTAACCTTGTCTGCCCTTAAATGTTCTCCTATCAGATGTCTGTGTCCTATGCTTGTGTCCTCTAACAGAATAACCTTTCCCACTCCCCTTGCAGCCAGGTTGGAATGACTAAGCCATATCTGTGATGATGAGCCATCAGGAATCAGTCAGCAGCCCCTCTAACAGAATAACCTTTCCCACTCCAGCCAGGTTGGAGTGACTAAGCCATATCTGTGACAATGAGCCATCAGGAATCAGTCAGCAGCTTCCTGCAGGGCATGTACACCTGCTAGAAGATTGGGTCAACATAAGAACCCTGCTGCTCTGGTGTAGGCACTATCTATGGTGCTAGATATTTTGGTGATGGGCATCTTATTGATGAGTGTAATTAGAGAAATAAATAGTAATAATGAATAACAATAATTAAGAATAGAATAATTGAATAAAGATGCTAATTATCTTACCCATTACAAAGATAGCTTCTCCAATTATCACCTCTAATATCATTAGCTCACAGACATTTACCCCCCCTCCCCCATTCCCCTTCTGTTCTGAAATGTGATTTGTCCTTTTCACATATGTTCATTTTTTTAATTGTATCCTTTGGTATATATGGTTGTGACAATTTTCTTCCACATGTTGATCTGAGGAAGTGGGTCTGGCCCACGAAAGATCATCACCTAATAAACCATCTTGTTAGTCTTTAATGTGCTATATAGTCCTGTTTTTAATTAAGAATAGAACACTCCAGAGAGGTATCAAGGAAGATCCATGAAAACATTATGGATCATAAAGTATTAGGAAATTGAGTTTTTTTCTTTCCTTGTTCATGTCATTAAAGAAGAGAATAACCTGAACTGTATTCCTGAGCCCATCTAGAACAGATTTGGGATCCTTCCCTTGAATATTAACACTCTGCATTGCAGTCCAAGTTGAAAAAAAGAAAAGAAAAGAAAAAAAGAACGTTGGTGCATTCATGTCAAGGGAGATCGTGTTGTGAATCATCTTTCACAGCTGATTCCTGTTGCTTTTCCTCTAGCACTGGGGCCAGGTCTGGGACTTTCTGCCCAGTCCTGGCTACTGTGAACCTGCTCATGTGTAAGGCCTCCTCATAGACTGGAGGGGTCTCTGATCCGCAAGCAGGTGGTGCTCCTAGCACTGCATTGTGGGAGTGAGCCACAGCCAGTATCCTCCTGGCAGCAGGACCGAACACAGAATGCAGAGCTGAAAGGGATGAGATTGAGAAAGGTTAATATAAACCTGGGACCATCAAATACCAGACATGAGCCAGACAGAGAGCACAAATATACTTGCTGTGCGATACTTTTCCCGACAACACGTCATTCACCTTCCTGCTCCAAGGCAATCCTTCTCATCAGCCACATCCCCTAACTACACCTTCCACAAATGCTTCTCTGAGCTGCTGTCCTTATTCCACCAAAAGAAGTGGTCCCACCCTCATTCCCCACTTCCTAGCTAGTTGGTTCTTCCAGATACAGCCCATGAATATCCCCAATGGCAACTCACAGATCCCCCCATTCCTTAGCATCAAGCAACCTGGCCCTTACACCAGCTGTTAGGGCCCTCCCGCTATTACCCCAGCAAATGACTTGGTGACATACATGGAGCTAAGACCATCCTTGTGCCCTAAAGCCTTGGGTTCAAACTTTGAGGTCTCTAGAATTTGGCACTCTGAAGTATGTTTTGGGTTCTAGGCTTGAGGGGACAGCTCCTGAGCTGGTCGAAATCAGCGTAGTACTTTTTACCTCAGTGGAGTGTTCTGATTTATACCAGCTCACCTAGCCTTGAAATTGATGGTATACAGAGGTCTGAATTTTTCAGACCTTCAGTTTCTGGATTTTGGAATATATTGGAGGATGCTCGGCCTTTTCTACAACAACCTTGGCTTCTGCATGGGCACACTCACAAGTGATAGTGCTCTGGAGAGTGCTGTCATGATCAAAGGCGATGACTGTCACCTCGTAGGGATGAGAACCCGACTCCTCCCCTGCTTGCCTACAGCAGCACCTCACGCAGGCTGAGACCAGGCCACACAAAAGCAGCAGCCCACCAATCGCTACCGCCAGCCTGTAGAGAGAAAGGGAGGGGAGTTATTGCCATGCTTTGTTCCTGTAGACACACTGAATGGAGTGTGAAGTGATCACACTCAATTTGCTAACATTTAAAGAGACAGTCTTTTAAAAATACCAATCCCTCAGCTGCATATCTGTGCTGTGAAATCATGTGTTGTGCTTCTTAAATTTCTCATAACTAATTAATTAATAAAGATGCTAGACTGAGAAGAAAGAGATATGCTCAAAGTCAAAGAAAATGTGCTACCTAATGCTAAAGGCATCTAGCCGGGATGGGAAAATGGAACATTTAAAGAGACAGTCTTTTAAAAATACCAATCCCTCAGCTGCATATCTGTGCTGTGAAATCATGTGTTGTGCTTCTTAAATTTCTCATAACTAATTAATTAATAAAGATGCTAGACTGAGAAGAAAGAGATATGCTCAAAGTCAAAGAAAATGTGCTACCTAATGCTAAAGGCATCTAGCCGGGATGGGAAAATGG